GTAGGAACTCAATATATGTATTCAGTGCATAATATATAATATATAATCTATTGCATATATATGTATTGCATATATATGATATAATATATATTTTGCAATATATTATAGATCTATGTATATAATTAGAAACTAAAAAGGATATTAAATTGACAATATTACATAATTTAGGAAGAAACACCATAAAATATATTATAAAATATTTCTGAAATCAGAGTGAGGATTTCAGTAAGAAGCATTATCAAAATATATTTAGAAAAGGTTGTAATTTGACTTTACTGCTATATAAGAAATCAATACCTAACTCACTGCAACACTTCTGTTTTTGCATACAGAACGCTAAACGTTTCACATAATCAAATTCTGTAATTCTGATGAATTTCAACTTCGATCCTGTTGTTTCGTTTTAGTTGTTTGGATAATGTGTGAAGAATAAAGCAAAACAAAAACATGATATTCAAAATCAAAATATTCTCTAGTGACAGACTTCAGCTACATATCCCAGCAGTTGATGATACTTGAGTCAGCAGTTACATTTTACTGAAATGTTTTATCCATTAAGTAAAGGACAAAATTACTGAAGGTATAGACGACCTAGAATCTTACCCACAGGGAAGTCATATGTCTTGTTCTATAGAGTTTGTCTCAGCATCCAGGCCTACTTGGAAATTTTGTCTTATATTTTACTCTTTATTTATAACCAATGTTAACTGAATTAATAGATGGGATAAATTATTTGTGAAATTTAAACTTTGCTTTCTCCATGGTTTCATTCAACTAAAGTACAAGATTCTTAATAAGGAGCAGAGTTCTTATTTTAACTGAGGTTAAATTTGAAGGAAAACAAGTCACAGTCTATATTAACTTCGCTTATCTTTTATTTTTTTCGCTTATCTTTTATGAGTAAAAACCAAGTTATCATTTTTATTTTAAAGACAGTATATAGAGAGATCATTCTAAGAGATATAACATTCAGTCACCAGCACACTTGTGCAGCTCACAGACGTCCTAACCTCAGTCAGGTTTTTTTACTACAGCCTGCAAGATCCACGGAGCAACCACTAGGTGGTGGTAGTGAGAAATGTGAGCGTCAATGGTTATATACTACCTGAAATACAGACTTGAAATCGGGACTGTCACAACAGAATAAAGAGACTGTGGATTTTTTTCCACTGTTGTATTAAACCATCAAATGTGTGTATATATATATATATATATACACATATATATGTATGTATATACATACACACATATATGTGTAATGCATTCATGCACACACACATATACATATACATACACAGTATTGTTTGGAAACATTTTTAAATTTTTTAAAAACTGTTTACTAACAAGAAAAATGAGCTTAAACTACAAGTTCTTAGTAATGAAAAGAGTGAATGATGAATTTCTGTTACAGAAGCAAGTTGATGGTAAATATATAACTTTCATATATTCGAGGTCATTTGCAACCCATTGTAGTAGAAAATATAACTATATTATTCCCCACAGGAAAAGCAAAATACAATTTTATTGGATAAATTTAATATTTTTTCTTATTCAATTTTATGGGCTGGAGCTATAGAACAGCAGGTAGGCCGTTTGCCTTGCACGCGGCCAACCCGGATTCAATTCCTCTGCCCCTCTCAGAGAGCCCAGCAAGCTACCAAGAGTATCTCTCCCACCTTGCAGAGCCTGCAAAGCTCCCTGTGGCTTATTTGATGTGCCAAAAACAGTTATAAAAAGTCTCACAATGGAGACATTATTGGTGCCTGCTCAAGCAAATCAATGAACAATGGAAGGACAGTGCTACAGTGCTATTAAATTTTACAACTTCCTTATATGAATTGGGTAAGAGTGGTGGGCAAATATTTCCTGCCCCCACCCCCGACCCCAGTATCTGGTATCTCTTTTCATTCTGGTCATAATTTCTTTTGTGATGCAGATGCTTCTTGATTTTAATTTGATATGGTTCCATTTGTTTATCTTGCTTCTGTTTTCTTAGCCAGTGGCATTGGATCATTGAAGATGCTGTCAAATTCAGTGTCATGAATGATCCTGTCTATTTTCCTCAATATGATTTATGAATTCAGACCTGAGATCTAAAAATTTAATTTATTTTGAATTGACATATTTGTAGTGTGAGATAGAGATCTAAATAATTTTTTCCCACACAAGGTGACCAGTTTTCCCAAAACCAATTTTTGAAGATACTTTTCTTTCTCCACTTTATGCTGTTGAAATACAAAAATACTCCTGTCATGAGTATTTTTTAGATGAACTGCATTGAATCTTTATATTGCCCTGGGTATTTTGCCATTCTGATACTATTAATCCTTTGAGTTTATGTTCAGAGGATGTTTCCATTGCTTACAAAAGTAATTTGAGAAACAATGAGTGTGCATAGTAATGTGGCAAGTTTTTAAATCAATATTCAGAAATCTGTAGCATTCCTATACAGAAAAAAATTAAATAGAAGAATGAGAAGTAAGAGTAACCATCCCATTCACAATGCAACTCAAAAAGAGCCAAGTACCAGAGAACAAGCTTACGAATTAGGTGAAAGACTTCCCTAGAGAAACCTATAATTTACTGCTAAAAGAACTTTTGAAAATACTAAGATTTTTTTTCTTTTAACTAATCCTGTTCGGTGTTGGTGTTAGTTATTAGGGAGCATTGTAATGTGAAAATTATAATTGCAATTAAATTGAAATATTTAAGATTTGTCATTGCATCCTGAATTTTCAGCAGTAACTTCTTGAGAGCTATGTAAATATTTCCCAGTCTATTATTAGGTATTATCATGAATGCAAATATTTTATAAAGAAATTAACTCATCCTAAACATCCTTCTGTTAAACTCTCACCTTCTTTTCATGCTTTATAATGAATACTACTTTTGAGACTAATGAAGCAGTTTTCATTAGGAGTTGAAACCAATTCATGTGAAGCAATTTCTGTAGAAGGAGACTCAAGGATCTTTGGTTAAACAAGAAGCCTCAACTAAATAATTCAGAAACAATAAAAGATTGATTCAATGGAGAAGATTCCTTGGGATTATTTATCTAAAAACTTTGGCAGGTGTCTAATTTGTTTTAGAGTTTGAAAAGTTTCTGATTTCTTTTCAGCTTTTCTTTCTTCTTATCTGGAAAGGTCATGAGATTTAGTTTTTGCATCTCTCACCGAGACCGTTGGAATGGAATGTTTGCTATACTTTTTCCCTCCCTTGATCCAGGCACAGCTTGGTGAAGAGTTTCATGCAGACTTCAATCTCCTTTGCACAGATAACATTTGCCACATATGCATGTCTCCTTTATGACTTACCCGGATTTCTCAAAAGTTAGACTAGGAAAACAAAAAGATCCACTCTGGAGCAATAGCACAGCAGGTAGGGTATCTGCCTTGCATGTGGCTGACTGGGGTTCGTTTCCTCTGTCCCTCTCAGAGAGCTCGGCAAGCTACCGAGAGTATCCCTCCCAAATGGCAGAGCCTGGAAAGCTCCCCGTGGCAAATTTGATAAGCCAAAAACAGTAACAAGTCTCACAATGGAGACGTTACTGCTGCCCACTCTAGCAGATCGATAAACAACTGGTGGACAGTGCTACAGTAACAGTGACTCCTCACAAGTTCTGAAGATCTGGAAAGCTAAAAAAGCCAAAAAGCTAAAAGCTAAAAATCAGGAACAGCATTAAACCAGGGGCAGACAGCAGCCAGTAGATGCATACTTCTCCCAGTTAACAGAGCTCTGGGTGGAGAGTTTCAAGAGACAATCATTTGTTCTTAATAAAGACTAAAGAATTAATGTGGTCCAAATAATAGTACAGAGGGTAGGATGCTTTCCATGCACACAGTAGGCCCAGGTTTGCCATCACAGATGATTCTCTAAGCCCTGTCTCATCAAGGATGATACCTGAGTAAAGACCCAGGAGTAAGCACTGAGCACTTCCAGATGTAGTTAAAAAAGAAAGAAAACAAAACAAAAATCCAGCACAAAATGATTCCCCATTGTCCACTATCTAATCAACTCAAAACTTGTTCTTTTTGGCTCTGTGACCGTGTGGCAACTAAGATGTCTTCATCCAAGATCTTAACTTCATCTCTCCTTTGAAGAATGGAGAACAGAGTCTGAAACTAAAGAGGATAAAGACTATGAATGTTTTTTCAACACTGTTCAGATTTTTTTGCTCTTCTTTTGACCTGAATGGGGCTTTGGAGAGAAATCAGCAGTGATTCCACATTTCCTTAACCCAGTAACTATTCTTTCACAGTCATTGTGATTCTCCTTCCATATGTTTGCATGAGTCTCAGGGATACCTTGTGTGGACAGGCAGATTTTGTAGCACTTAGAAAACCCAATAACAGGTGAATCTTGTTTGAAGTTCAACATTACTTTTAGTTAAAAATCCAAACTCAGAGACTATTATGTTTTTGTTTGTGTTTTTAGGTTATCTCACTTTACGCATTGCACTGTACTTTTCTGATGTGACTCTACTTTATATATATTTTTAAAATTTTTATTTAAGCTGCAGAAATGTAAGTCCCACGTTTCTCAACCAAATGGTGTTGAGACAAAATAAGTACTTCCAAGAAGTGAGTACTTCTCCTCGGTAACAATAGAAACTTCAATAGAAATTTTCTCAAATATTTCAAATTATATATGCCCAAGTCCATTTTCTGAGTCATATTGATATATATTTAAATCTTCCAAAGTGTTAAAACACTGTAGTGAAATAGAAATAGAAATTATAAGAAGATAAACATACTGATGTGCCACATAACACAATTTATTTGCTTACAATTTTAACATTCAATCCAATAGCTTAAAAATCCATCAATGGTATAGATATGAGATTTAATTTTAGATTACTCACGAACTTTATAATCTTCCAAATAGTGATGAGGCAGGAAATGGTTGATTTAAGAATAAAGGAACCATGGTAACTGTTGCGAATGAAAATGGTGGCTGTGGGAACAGAGACTCTGATCTCATTACTCAAAGAGCCTGGAATCTTAATAGGCTGACTGATAGAAGCCATATCCAAAGATGGGCTTGGAGCATGATGATTGACAGCTTCTGGAGGTGAAGTGGGCGGGGCGGCAGATCCTGGAACCAGCATTCAGGGAAGGGAAGCCACAAACTCTATAGGTCAGAGATCTGAAGTCCTGAGATCCACAGTCCTGTGAGTTGCAGCTTCTGGATCCGAAGCCTGGGAAGCAGCAACTGCCAGACCCAGAGACCCGAGACTCAGTGTAAGTTGACCCAGAGCAACTGCAGAGCATGGAGGCTCTTGGGTGACTGCAAGTTGACTGGGAGGGACTAGGAAACATGAAGGGTCTCAGGTTGTACCATGATGTCTGACAGGATATCGGCACCACACAAGATGTCTGGCACCTGGTGGGCTCATAGCAGGTCTGGTAGGTACTGTGGAGAGAGGAATCAAGTTGGTAGGGCTTGAGAGAGATGAAGTCAGTGCTGTAGATGAGACTGCCCGGGTAATAAGTGCTGCAGGACCAATCTGAGCGGTGGTGTAGGTAGTCCCCAGGGGAACTAGAAGAGAAATTTCCAGAGCAGCAATTGTTGGACATATTAATAGGAGATGGGAGTTCAACAGTAAGAAGATTCTGAGTTTAAATACACTCTTGTACAGTGACATTTATATACTCTGAGCAGTGGGTGTGGCACCATCACTCCTACATTAGATTTCCTCTTTCGTTATGTGTAACACAGTAATCTCTGTAATTGTCATTGCAAACTATTTTAAAATAGTTTAGCACCTATTGTATTTATGGGTGCTATAATTTTATTGTTATAGCCAAAGCCAGTGGATTACTCCTATGCCAGATACACTATGACTATTTCCCATAAACGCGTAACCTCTCATCACCAGGGAAGCTCTTCCCTCTAGCTTATGCTATCTGTGTCTATTTTCTGTCCTTCCACATATAGTTTTGCTGATAGGCAAGATTAGTCTTCTCCTTGTCCGATAGATCAGAGGCACAAATTTGATCTATGTTGGAATCTTCTAGGGGAAATGATTTGCTGATCTACAATTTATTCCCATTCTCCGATATTACTTGATGGCAAAAACTCAGCAGTAATAGAAAGCTAAGACACCAAGACCACAGCAAATCAATGTGTATCTGTAATCCAATCAAGAACAAAATTGTGTGAAACATTGCGAAAGAGAGAGGGAGAGGGAGAGAAAGAAAAAGAGAGAGTCGCACAGAGAGAGATGGAGAGTTGGAGAGTAAGAGACAGAGAGCTTGAAACTGAATGAGAACTCTCCATGTATTTAGAGATGTTGACAAACATCACTTTGAGTACTGAGAAAAATTTGGTTGTTTCCAGAAATAAAGGGAAAGGAAGATGGGTAGAATAGGTAGAGGAAACCAATTTGGTTGTGTGCTGGCTTTAGAATATTTGTGTTAATGCAGATGCGATATATACACTAACTGAGGTAGGAAGCAATAATCCTGAAGGTCATATATCATTGTGAAGCAACTACAAATAAACAATACAGTATTAAATATCAGATGATAAAAAGAATAAAACATGAACAACCTCAGGGAAGATAGTCTATCTTTAGACCATCAAATGTGAAACACTTGTCTAAGAAGAGAAGGAAACATTTGAAGGAGGAACCCACTCGAAAACTTCTGAATCCTGCTCCAAAACTTTAGTTTCTTTTATTGAAAGCTCAAATGATCTGCCTGATATACTCACAATTAACACATAAAAATTAATATATTTTTGAATTATGGACTATATGCTTTTTATCATCTAACCTTATAAACATCTAACACTTTTTTTTCTTTTTGGGTCACTCCCAGAGATGCACAGGGGTCACTCCTGGCTCTGCACTCAGGAATTACTCCTGGTGGTGCTCATATGGGCACCTGGTGGGGACCATATGGGATACTGGGAATTGAACCCAGGTCGGCCGCGTGCAAGGTAAATGCCCTACCCGCTGTGCTACTGCTCTATCCCCCATCTAACACTTTTTGTTGCTGTTCTTTTCATACCACACATGGCAGTGCTCAGGGCATCCTTCTGGCTCTTTCTGAGGGATCATTCCTGGAAATGCTCAGGGTTCAATATGCAATGCTGGAGATAGAACATGGATCAATCATGTGCATAACATGCACTTTTATATTACCTCTCTCGACCATGTCTATCATCTTTAATTCTGAGACTATCTCTTAGTTTTTCAATACACAAAACATGAATGATTCCGGTACCCATAGAAAGAGAGTCAGGTGATACCCTGTATCTTTTTGTCTAAATGTGAAGTTTCTCTTTGGGTTCCTTTTGCTCTCCACGGGTATGTTCATCTCACTCTTTATCTCTGTCTCTGTGTCTGTCCTCTTTTTTTCTCTGTCTGTTCTAGCCTCTATATCTCTTCCTTCGACTTCTGTACCCTCATCTTTCTTTTCTGTATTCTATGTTTCAATTTGACTTTCTTTTATGCCCTTCCCTTTAGTTATATCTCTTGCCTCTGCTTAATTATAGATTCAAAGCTGAAAAATCCACAGACTTTTCCTATTTTTAGAGTTCAAGCAGTTTCTTTATATGCATCCACATAATATTTGCTATGTGATAAAACATAGCTATTTTTGTGTTGAGGGCAGGAAACTCACTCAAGGGATTAGAGCATATGCCTTGTATGGGCAAGCATCAGTTCCTTCCTCAGCACCAAACATGCACCATCACCCAGCACTGCCAGGTTCATCTCTTGTTACTCTTGAAAACCATTTTGGCAGTCCTGGTGTTCCCAGCACCACTTGAACTGAGCATAAGACTTTCACTGTACTATGATAGACTTGAAAATCATGTTAAATACATTGACAATTTTCCCAGTAAAATTCGCAGAAATTTGCAAAGTAACATCAAGTAGACTAATGAGAAAAAAAATTGTCTGAGGAAAGGGAAAAGAAATGCACCCATTCCAAAAGGCTATTTAGGGAATCCTTTTTTTTTTTTTATTTTTCAAATCAAGAATTTGGTTTCCCTGTTCTTTGCGAACCAGCGGGTGGTTCAAGTATCCTACGGACCCCATCTTACCCTCTGTTTTCAAGGACAAGATTTCAAAAACAATACCAGTATTGGTTGATGAATACAAAAATTCAGCTAGGCAGGATGAAACTTCTGGAGATCTATAGCATTTGGTCGTAGTTAGCCATGTGATTTGCATCCTTGAAATTTTCTGACCAAATCTAATTTTTTCTCACCACAAAATATTATTACTTTGTGAAATGATGGATCTGCCAATAGGTTCGAAGTTGGGAACAAATTCTCAATAAATAAACCTACTTATTGTTTCCAAAAATGGATGATACTGTTCCCTGGGAAGGTGTAGGGGTGGGGGCAAGGTACTAGAAGATGGAAGACACGGGCGAGATGTCTTGATAATCTGAAGAGCACTTTGGGGAAAACTTTCTGTTTGTTCTTTAGGGCAATAGTGGAATAGGGGAAGGGGTGAGAACTGAAAATTTTAATTTCTTGAAACGGTAACAGTAGGCCAAATAAATTTGAGTATTATGGAATGATATCAAAATATCACATATTACCTTAATTGAATATAACACCTATTTATCTTATATGCTTCTTTTTTAATCTTTTTGAGTCACACCTGGTAATTCACAGAGGTTACTGCTGGCTCTACATTCAGGAATTACTCCTGGAAGTGCTTGAGGGACCATAGGGGATGCTGGGAATTGGACCCAAGTCGGCCATGTGCAAGGCAAATGCCCTACCCGCTGTGCTATTGCTCCAGCCCGACTTATATGTTTTTAAAGTGGCAAACAATAAAATAATCTTGGGGACAAAAATTGTGGATTAAATGGGAAACACTCATTTGTCAGAAAAATGTCCTTGCTTTCAATTCCTCTGGTGTTTTACAGAACTTTTCTCTGATTATAGGACTTCTCTCTGCTGAGAATCTTGAAGGTTTTAGCTTAAGAAAGATGTGTAAATGATCTAATCTTGCACTGAATGAAGCCAAGAAGTTATGTTGTTTGTTTTTTATTACAAAGATACCCACCAATTTTTCTTTTCTGTTTGAGTGATTGATCATACATACAGATTATGCTGTTTCAAATAAGCTATATAACTTTGGCAAGCATGGCCAACGGCTTCTGATTGTTTGATCGACATCTGGTTCACTGGGTTTTGAATGAAATGATGTTGAAACTTGAAATGAGTTTTCACAGAAATCTCATCCATAGTTAAAACTTTTAGCATCTACCTCCCACTTCAGGTTATAAAGAAACTTGTCAGTATATTATAAGGGATCTTATTTTCACTAATCCTCTAGATTAGAGACACAGTGGTTATAAACCCACACCTCCATGAGGATTTTCTTTAATTTCCATCCCGTTTTAAGTATTAACAATCAAATATACATACTCTACCACAGATTAGAGGCTTTCAAATTGTTTTTTTAACTATATTCATTGCGTCTAGGTATTGTGGCTATTTTTCCTTGAGTCTCCCAAGCTCACATGGCCTGGTGCTACTCCAGGAGGTATTTGGTCAAGACTATTTGTGCTGGCTGTTGGCACAGGCCTGCACTCTGAGTATTGGTGTTTCTCAACCTGAAAAAGACTAGAAGTAAGTAGAGTTACAACACCAGCTTGAATTTCCTAAATCTTGGTATGTGTCTTCTACTGCTACGTAATCTACTATAAGAATATTTAAACAACCATTTAAAATGTATTATATTTACATGGGCTATTATTATATGGGCTGGAGCGATAGCACAGCGGGTAGGGCGTTCGCCTTACACGCGGCCAACATGGCCGACCCGAGTTCGATTCCTCCGCCCCTCTCGGAGAGCCGGCAAGCTACTGAGAGTATTTGATATGCCAGACACAGTAACAACAAAGTCTCCAATGGAGACGTTACTGGGCCCGCTTGAGCAAATCGACGATCAACGGGAGGGCCTTTACCTTTTTTACCTATATTTACATCACAAATTTACCACTTTATTCTTGTTTATGGTTTTTATGTATGATTACCACACCTCACCACTACCAAAGTGCCCCAAACAATCCAATAAACTTATGTTAAACAATCTCCACTGTAAATAACCATTTATTTCCACTACTTCTGAAGTTTGAAAACAAATCTTTTAAAATTACAGTAAATAGCAATTGAACATTGCTTGACAAATTGAGCCTTTTTCTTTCACAGAGAGTGAGAGAGAAATAGAGTGATAAGAGAGAAAAATAGAGGAAAATCTGGAGATAAGACAATGTATAACAATCTCTGTTTGGACGCCAGAGAAATACCAAAGAATTTCATGCTCACAATATCTGTGATGAGCCAGAAGGGAAGTGGAAAGAAATGAGCTACATCAGGAATTACTAATCTCTGAGTGTGGCATACTTATTTTAATATCGGTGATTAAGAGGCTCAGAAGATCTCCATAAACTCATAAGGAGAAAGAAGAAAAACTGGAATTTAGAGTTTACCAAAGACTGGGAATGCTTGGAAATACTCCACACCTGCAAGAGGTAATTCCAGCAAGTAATCTTCATCTCTATTAGCTGTCTAATCCTGAATCATCTTAATCCATAATTGGATTAAAATTTTTCTAGACTGGATTTGTCTATATACTTGTAACTTTCCAGATACACAAGTAAGGCATTTTTGAAGAAATCTCAACCACCTATATGATTATAAAATATAGAAAAAACTATAAAATATATTACACTTACAAGTCAAAATAGGGATGAGAAGTTTCCAACAGAATTAAAAAAAAACAGAAAATCACATCTGAACCAGTGGAAGTTCTATTTTGAGTTCAAAACAATGAATTTGGTGAAATGATTACCAAATTCAAATCAATTCTCAGCTTCATTATTTCACATGATTATAATGGTTTGTATCCAAAGCCAATCTGAACAGAGAGAAGAAAAAATGCAAAGGAAATAATTGACACAGTCACATATGCTAGAGAGTCCCCCAGGACCCTTGAAAAATCTCCAATGAGTTCGGTGTGTCCCAGGAATGAGTCTCTGTGTTCTGTCATTGACAGGAGTCCCATATGAAAACTAATGCTTTGGCCCCCTTGAGTGCTACTTTTTGGACTATAGCTATTGTTATATTTACCAGGGTAAATGAAGCTTCCAGTAGCCAGTTCCAAGAAACAAGCTCTCAGTCATATAGAGGTGAAGTGCTACTAGGGTTTTAGATTCCTTTTTGATACTCTAAATCTAAAACCCAATGTTTTCCTTCCCCCATATCAATATGCCTTAGACTTAATTCTCTTTAGAAGGTTCACATTGATCTCCGCTTTGTTCTATGCCAACACATTTCTCTATCATTGTCTAGTTTCTCTCCAGTTCTAGATATAAATAATATTTGTATTATCTTGTCAAATCTTTTTTTCCTCTTGACTGGATCCAAGACACAGTTTATAGCAGAATGGAAAGGATGAATAATAATTATTGATAATGAAAAAACAGTGAGAAGAAAACATTGCTGATTAAAGCCAAAGGGGTGTGGGGGGGCTTTTGTTCATTGGCAAAGAAAAAATTAATTTTATTTTATTTTCCACCACTTGGGGTAAACATTTGTCCATCACTGCTAGAACCAGGATAGATGGAGACTACGAGAAGAGATTAAAGTCACACTGGTGGCTGGGATGAGAAAAATATTAGCTGGAAACCCGTCATAGCATTTCTAACATAGAAACAGTTCTTTGCCTTTGCACCTTCACAACCAAATTGCAGCACCCATAACTACAATGTGTGGAAAATTAGTCAATGGCAATTAAAGAGATGCTTCCTGAATTATGCATATGTAAATAAGGGGCGCAAAGATGCAAGGGATAACCCTGCAGATCGCCACGCCCACTGCTCAGAGTATATATAGGCGCTGTCCAAAAGGCCAAACTCAAACTCAGAACCTTCTCCATCTCGCTATAACTTAGCTCAACTCACTTCCATCAACATGTCCAGCAACTGCTGCTCCGGTGCCTTCTCCTGCAACTCCTTTGGGGGCTATCGGCGCTGTCCCAGCTCTTCCTACCCCAGCAATCTGGTCTACCGCACCGACGTTTGCTCTTCCAGCCCCTGCCAGCTGGGATCCTACTTCCCCAGGGACTGCCGGGACACCTGCTCTGAGCCCGTCAGGTGCCAGTCATCAGTCGTGCTTCCCCGTTCCTGTCAGACGTCCTGCTTCCAACCAAGGTCCTCCATCGTCTGCAGTCTCCGCGAGACTTACACTGGGTCTCTGGGCTGTGACTCCTACAGCAGCCGCTCCCTGGGCTTTGGGTCGAGAAGCTCCTGCTCAGTGGGATGCGGATCTCGGGGCTTCAGATCCTGCGGCTTCCCCTTCCTGAGCTCTGGAACCAGATTCTGCAGCCCTGCCTACTTCCCTTCCAGAAGTTTCTATTCATCTTACTATCAGCCCCTCTACACCTTTGGCTTTTACTGATTATTTTTGTGGAAAGGCCAACGGAGTTGAGAAATGCAGATTCTATTCCAAAATTATCTACTGGTCTTAATTTTCTCCACTGGAAATTATTTTAATATTCTCTGGCTTCTGGCAAATCTTTTCTTCTTCTGCCCTCAAACCAAAATTCTGCAGCTGATATGATGTATGGTGTTACATTCTCTGTAATGGTTGGAAGGTCAAATTCTTCTAATAAAATTTTATTCTGCTTTTCAATTATTCTGTCAATGTTGGTCATTATCACACAGATCAATAAGGATATATGTTTTTACTGCTTCTGTTAATAAACTTTGGAATATTCAGGATTTGGGGGAGCACTGAATCGATTGTTCATCAATTTGCTTGAGTGGGCACTGGTAACGTCTCCATTGTGAGACTTGTTGTTGGCATATTGAATACACCACGTGGAGCTTTTCAGGCTCTGCCATATGGGAGGGATACTCTCAGTAGCTTGTCCGGCTCTCTGAGAGGAGCAGAGGATTCAAACCCAGGTCGGCCGTGTGCTAGGTAAATGTCCTACTGCTGTGATTTGGGTGTGTGCACTAATTTTTTTTTATTGAGCTTAGTTTTTCAATTTATCTGTTCTTTTTGTAAAATAGCTACATGTAGAGAAATATGAGGGGAGAGAGGGGTGATAAAGAGAGATACATATAGACGGACAGAGAGAAAGAGAGAGAGAGAGAGAGAGAGAGAGAGAGAGAGAGAGAGAGAGAGAGAGAGAGAGGCTAGAAGGAACATTGATTAAGAGCCAAGAGTACACTTCTCAAGAGTTGGGCCAATGCCCAAGAGAGAATGTGTGATAAAAATTTTAAAAAGTTATTATATATCTCAGATTGAGATGTGGATAAACCACCAAATGTAGAAGAAATCAGAAATTGATGCTGCCTAAGCACATATTCCTTAGATGCTGTTTCAGGGGACAAAGATTTACAGATATCAAGATGTTTGATTATTTTTACTCACACAATGAATATGGGTCTTATATTTCGAAAGGTATTTGTTATCAGAGCTGTTTGAAGACTATAGAAATACAATTTATATATATATATCATTAGATCTATGTATTCTGAATATTAAAATTGAAGAAAGCATGAAGATCTAATTTTTTTTTACAAAGCAACCTATGATCTTTACTCATCACAGTACAAGAAACATTTTATATGTTTTAATTGGCTAATTTCCCTTACTGAATTAGTTTTCAATCTGCTCAACTGATTTCTATTTGTATAAGGAAGAAGGCGCCAAACTTAGATAAGAACTAACTAGATTCAGCAGGTGTAAAGTTGCACCTGGATACTTTGCCAACATATTAACTGGCTCTAGCTGCAAACAAAACACTTTCCTTATGAAAAGTACTGTTTGGGGTGTATATTGAAATAAAAATGGATATTCTTTATTTCTTCCATTCTTTTCTCTTACATATTATCAATATTATAAAATACCAGGTACTAACAGAGATGCTAGGGTAATAACTAAGGACACAAATTAAAGATGTGCAATGTAACAATACTTTTACAATTTCTTACTTAATAAGATCCTTAAATATACCTGACATTTTTAAATGGGGGAGATATCATGTAAGATGCTTGGGAAAAAATCAGGCCTAGAAATAAGTATCTCAGTCACTCCTTCAAGCTCTTTTTAGATCCTCCTTAACTACTAGGATGATAAAGAGTAAAATTCAAAAGAAGCTGTAGATGGTTCAAAGGAATAGCACAGCTGTTGGATGCTACCCTCACACTACTCATGGTCCCGTGCCCCAACAGGGGTGATCCCTGAATGCCAAGTCAGAAATTAGCCCTGAGCACAGCCAGGTGTGGCTCCCAAACAAACCGAAGAAGATGAGAAGTTCATCAAATTCAAACTGCTTATTATACAGAAGTGGAAATTGCGACATAGAAGAGTTAGATGAAATTTTACAAGGTTACTAGTGACTGTGCACCTGTGAATGGCAGGACGTCATCCCACCTGCCTGCACTACCCAGCCTCTGTGTTTCCTCCTGGGCTCCTTCTTCCTCCTCCTCTCCCTCCTCCTTCTCCTCCACCACGTTTAGGAAATAGTACTAATGCTTATGTGTTTACAGGGAAAATCCAAAATTATTTTAAAAGAAATTTTAGGAAGAAAGTAAGGACCAGTTACAGAATTTCAAATAGTAAATAGTAAACTACTCTGTGAATGGGATTGCTCATGAATTTTATGATTCTGCTGGTCTCACACTCTTCACCAGCCAAGAACCACCATTGCATTTCATATCCAACATGTGAGCAAAAGCAGAAGGGTCATGGGAAGTAGTTTTGTGCTTTGAGTTTATTTTATTTGGCCAAGTTGAGGCTTCTATTCATTTCTTCAGATGTCAGAGACAGGAGAGGTTTTCTAGCTTCTGGGAATGTACTTTTCATTTTCTTTGATTGGCATAAAGTAAAAGTAAAAGTAAAGGCCCTCCCGTTGATCGTCGATTTGCTTGAGCGGGCCCAGTAACATCTCCATTGGAGACTTTGTTGTTACTGTGTTTGGCATATCTAATACTCTTGGTAGCTTGCCGGGCTCTCTGAGAGGGGCAGAGGAATCGAACTCGGGTTGGCCATGTTGGTCGCTTGTAAGGCGAACGCCCTACCCGCTGTGCTATCGCTCCAGCCCTTGATTGGCATAATAAAGCAAAAAATTAGTGACAGAACATAATGAAGTCAGTGGCCTAAACAATACACATTTACTATGGTGTAACTATGCAAATGTTGGACAGTTTGCAGCAAAAGGGAAGTTGACCCCATGGGGGAATTTGGTGCTGGCATATCATATGCATAAAAATCGACTATCAATAACTTTGTTAATCACAGTTTTCTAAATAAATAAAAAATTAAAAGAAGAAAAATTGGAAAAAATAAGTTGAACAAATTGACTAAAGTCAACTGTGTAATCTCGGAGTGGCTAGGGAGCCCCATGGATCTCGGATCTCTCTCTCTCTCTCTCTCTCTCTCTCTCTCTCTCTCTCTCTCTCTCTTTCTGCCAAGGGCCACTCTCCTGCTGGGGAAGGCCAATGCCATGGGCAGACAGAGGAGAAAACGAGGGCCAAGCTGGTTGATTTATGATCAATTGCCATTTAGTCCATTCTCCCCACATGCCTGTTCTACTCTCTCTGAGCTCCTCATTCTAGTTTCACACTGCCCCTCACTCCTGTCTCCTCCTGTCTCTCCTGCTCATCTCTCCACACTCCATCTCTCAGTCGCATCTCTCATCTCTCCACACACCTGCTCCTGCATTATTCCTCTACATTCCTCTTTCTCTGCCCCCTTGCTAGTCTCTCCATGCTCCATCTTGCTGCCCTGCTCTCTCTCTCTCTCTCTCTCTCTCTCTCTCTCTCTCTCTCTTCTTCTAGCATTCCAGCTTTTTTCTGCTCTATAGTTTGATTGCTGCATCACGCTGCAGATTGTTTTTTTATTTTTGTGACACACCTGACAGTACTCAGGACTTATACCAGTCTCTGTTGTTTAAGGATAACTCTTGCTGGGAGTTAGAGGATTTCTGTGATGCTGGGGATCAAACTTGGCCCAACTGTGTGCAAAGCTAGTACTTTACTGCTTGTTCTTCTCTCTCTGGCCCCAATACCATAACTTTTAACACAGAAGCATAGACCCCAAGCTTCTGCTGCCCCTGAAACTAATTTCGGTTGATCAAGTGTTTACTAGCTGGCACCCTGGTTTGATTTCTCCCTGGTTTGATTTCACAATCAGTGTCTAGAAAATTTTCTCACTTACAATTTCTATTTATTCAATTGCAATATCTATTAATGCTTATTAATCTATTAGAGTCTATAATCTATAAATTAGATTAATAGATTAATTAAATCTATTAATCTATTAGAGTATCCTGCCCCCACACCTGGCTGTCCTCACTGGGGCCCCTTGGAGGGGGGTGGGTTGACCCCCCCAGGAGAGCCCCAGCAGCTGAGGACCTCTGGAGCCAGCCACGGCCATTGCTGGGACCACTTTCCACACGTCCAGACAAGCCTTATGCATGAAAGAACTGGCAGAGAAACCCAGGCATGTGGGTCCCGGTGCTGAGATCTCCAAGCCTGCTCGGATTGGGACTGGGCCTTCTCCACCCAGACCCCCCATCTTCCAGTAGGTAGGCGTCACACCCACCAGCTGCCGCCAGCACCAGGTTGGTCCCATCAACGGCCAAGATGCAGAGACTATAAAACCCAGCTCCTGGAAGTGGAGACATCTTATTATATCATTTTTCCTTTGGAGAACCTTAGAGGCTACCAAAAGTATCCTGCCCGCACGACAGAGTCTGGCAAACTTCTCGTGTCGTACTCAATATGCCAAATACCAGTAACAATGATGGGTCTCATTCTCCTAACCCTGAAAGAGCATTGAAATGGCTCTTTTAAAATCTCAGGACTAGAAAGATGGAGACGTTACTAGTGCCTGCTCGAGGCAATTGACGAACAACAGGATGATCATGATCATGATCGTGATTAATGCCTATCTCACAAGGGATTGCAAGGAACAGCCTTATCCTCACACAGTATCTGTCCTTGCTTTTTAAAAGAATGTATTTTCACATTGACTTATATGAAGTGTCGAGGAGGTAGAGACGTCAGCCTCAAGAAGGGAGTAGGCCTCTTTCCCCTTTAGCACATTGGTGACCTGAAAAGTGCCTGGGGAAATCTTGGCGTGATAATCTAGACAGACCTCATGTCTCACCAGCCTTGTGAAGAAGCCATCAAGTACACCTGGCCCCACTAGTTTTCCTTGGCATGGGAGTTGATCTGTGACACTGAATTTCTTGGGGAGCAGAGGACTCAGGCTGAAGCAAAGAATCATTCTTTGCAGAAAAGGAAAATCAGTGCTAGACTTTACCCAGGCTTTGGGGGTCCATTGCCTTACCATTGCTGTAAAGAATTTGGGGAAGAGAGGAATAGTGATACAAATCATATTTATTTAGTGATTATGAAGAAGGAAAGAGACAAACACACACA